GGGATGGGGATGGGGGTGGAGGTGGAGGTGGAGGTGGGGACGGGGAAGAGCTGCCGTGGGTTGATGCCAATGCACTGCTGGAAGGGTGATCCCCAGCAGGGATTATCCCAGCATGAAGTGCAGTGTCTGAATGGTTGTGTGGGATTAGAGCATCCCGCACGTTGCAGGATCCCAAGCGGGCGAGCACCCTGTGCTTTATAATCAGGGATGCAGCCCAGCCAAAAATTGGGGTCATGTAGGTGCACCCACTGCTCCTCTATGGGAACCCGGGGTCCCCAGCTGCTGTGGGGACGCCCCGCCAGCTGCAGCAGGCGAGATGCGAGGGGGTGCTGGGGTCTGCCTTTGCAGGGTGAAGGAGAGGCACCACCGGGGCCGGCCCAACAGCAGCTCGGAGTCATCGACCAAGCACTCCCGGCACGCCTCGGAGCGGAGGAAGAGCCCGTCACCCAGCCCCGGCCAGCGCAGCAGCTCCTGGAGCTCCAGCGGTTCCCTCTCCAAGTCCCGCTCCCGCTCCCGGGAGAAGAGAGCGGGACGCAGCCGCTCCCGCTCACCCTCACCGAAAAAACCCGCCAGCAGGTCAGCCCCCGGGAGGGCTTCATCTCGAGGGGTGCGGGCACCAGCAATGGGCTCAGAGAGCACCCATGGCTCAGGGCGGTCCCAGCTGCTGGGGAGGGGGTTACAGGGCATTGCTGTCCCCCCTGGCACTGGAAGTGCTAGCCCTGGGTGGGGGCGTCACCCCCATGGGGAGCTGCTGCGCACGGGCTGTCCCTGCCTCTCACCCGTGACCCCAGCCCGCACACCTGACCCTCCTCCTCCTCCTCCTCGTGGTGCAGAGAGAAGGACAACGAGCCCCGAACACGCCACGGTGACCCCGATCCAGCCCGTGCCCGGCGCCGCTCCAGGAGCTACTCGCCCATCAGGAAGAGGAGACGCGACTCCCCCAGCTTCATGGAGCCCAGGAGGATCACAAGGTGGGTCCCGGCACCGGGGCCTGGGGCTGAGCAACGCCGCCAGCCAGCCCCGACGGATGCGTGGGTGGGTGGGTGGACGGACGGACAAATGGATAGACAGATGGCTGAGCAACTCTGCGGACAGATAGACAACCCTGAGGATGACCAGCTGAGTTGGCCCAGACAGACGGATAACCAGACTGCCTCCAACAGTACAACCTTCTCATCCCTTCCCATTTTGAGACATGAAAACAGGAATTCCTTTTAATCCGCGTGTGTGTATTCCAGCAAGACATGGGGCTGCGAGCGTCTCTCCCCTGCCCTCCAAAAGCCGGTGCCTCCTCCTTGACATCCTATTGACTCCGGATCCCGGGCTGGAAGACAGGCAATATTTAGTGCCAGACGAAACGCTGTGTGCATATCTAGTACCTCGTTAGCATGCAGGGCTGGCGCGGCACCGCTGCCGAGCTGAGATTACCTCGTTCCTGACCTATTTGTCTCTCCTACTATCAGCTGGGAGGTCGGGGCTGCGGGGTGGAGGAGGCTGGATTTTCAGCTCTGGCTCGCTGTGGGAAGGGTTTTATTTTGCTGGGGCTGGACTGAAGTTGTGAGGAGGGAGGACAGGAGGTATGGTGGGTTAGAGCTCCCTGCAGCCCTCCCTGATGGATGGCCGGTAGGAACATGGGCAGGGAACACTGCTCCCAGCCCAGAGGAAGGTTTCCCAGCCTGGGTACCACCAGCTGGTTTTGCATCCCTCCTGCTCTGTCCCCGTGCTGGGTTTTGCCAGGATGTCCCCAGGAAGGTGGCAGGGCCCGGCTGGAGGATGCAGCCCACCGTCCCTGCAGGGACCATCCCCCCCATCCCTCTCACCCAGCCCTGGGATGGGTGGGGACGACAGACCCATCTCTGCTTGGAGCAGAGCTGCTTCTGCGAGGCTTGGAGGGTGCTGCAGGGAGGGGGCAGCCAGGGGAACACCCCCAGCCGCTCTCTCCTGCCCTATAGCCAAGTGAGAAGCCCCAGGGCCCTTCCTTGCCCTCCTGCCCTGTCCCCAGTCCCCATCACCCACCACCACCCCAGGGTCCGTCACCATGTGGTCCTGCCTCAGTGATGCCAACTTCTCCTTTTCCATTTCATCCCAAGGTTCCTCTCGGAGAGCATCGCCGCCGGCCTGGCTCCCAGGGTAACCTCCCTCCTTCCTCCTCCTCTTTCTCCTCCTCTTCCTCCTGGACCTCTCTGTGTCTCCTCACACCCTAGGATGCCTTTGGCACCCAGCCACCTCCAGGCTGTGCCTGTGTCTCTCTTTGGTCCCACTAACATCGGGCCGGGAGAAGGGGGCAAGGGGCTGGCTCCTGCACTGGCTCCAGACATCGCTGCCCCCCATGTGCCCCTATCCCTCCTGCCCCCATGCTCCCCATGTCCCTCCTCATCCTCAGGCGCCGGCGGGCCGCAGCTCGCCTCCTACTAATCCCAAACGTCTCTTTTTCAGCAGCTTTCAATCTTTGGTGTCTGGGAAACACAAAAGCCACATTAACCTGCTCACTTTCTGCCCTCGCCGCTGCCTAATCCAGGACTAACACCCCGGGGGGGCTGGGGAGGAGGAAGGGGATGGAGGGTGGGGGGTGACGGTGGGTGGCCGCATC